CTTACCCGGCTCTCCCTCCTCTAAGCTTATCTCTGCCGTCGATTTGACATTTAGCCACCAGGACCTGTCATCTTATGTATGTAATATCTTTTCAATGTCGGAAAGTGCCTTAATACCTAAAACTCATGAGGTGTATCGGCTGTGCAGGTTCACTCTCCCTTGATGCTCCAAGATTCCTGAAAGACGGTGAGGCAGATAGTATCACAGTTACAGCATTATTCTCATTTTTTCAAATGATATCATTGAGGCTTAGAGGTGTTAAGTAACCTGCCCAACCAGGAAGTGGCGGAATTGGGATTTGAACTGAACTTTGTCTATCAACAAATTTATAATAACTTTCTACTATAATCAAAATGGCAAAGAGGTTGGCTTCTCCTCAAATCCAACCTAAGTGGCTGGTTATAGCTGCCCAAAGTGCTGTGTCAAAAAGCCAAACTCATCTGACCAGTGTGGCTCAGTGGTTGAGTGTCAACCTATGAACCAAGAGGTCACGGTTCGATTCCAGTCGAGGCACATGCCCAGGTTGTGGTCTTGGTCCCCAGTGGGGGGCATGTAGGAGGCAGCCAATCAGTGACTCTCTCTCATCATTGATGTTTCTATCTCTCTCTCCATCTCCCTCCCCCTCTGAAATCAACAAAAATATAACAACAAAACAAAAAAACAGCCAAACTCAGGCTCAGCATAAAAGGGAACCGTCCACAATGAAGGAACAGGGTCAGCATGGGTCCAGCTATGGAGGAAGAGCACTCGGCCACCTGTTTGCCGTCCCCTGCCGCATGCTAACTTTCCTGAGCTAGGAGAGCATTTACTACCGGTTGCATTTACATTGCATGTACAGGAGCATTTACATTCTACAGCCCTTGGAGCAGAGAGCTTACCCTATAGCAGATGAGCATCCAGCAGAGATGGGCTCCCACAGCCTGCAACAGCCCCACCAGGGGCTGTGAGCGAGCAGCCCCGCTCCGGACCAGCTGAGCGGCTTGGCTCGGTGACTGATTCCAAACTAACAGGCATGCAAAACACAGTGTGAAGCTTAAGGAAAACTGTTTGACCCAGAAGACTGAACATCAATGTGAAAAATAAGTGGTAATGCTTTCCGCACGGCGATAATACTTTTCACACGCACAAGCTGGTACAGAGAAGCCGAATGCCGTGCGGAACGCACACCCTGCGTGTGGCTACTCCTAAGGTCGTGCATCTCCTCTGGGGGACCCCCCACCCCCATCATATGTGATCATTCCTGACTTCCTATATCTCAAGATTCCTGGGAGGATCAAGGGATAAGAGACCAGCATTCTCTGATACCCGACCCCATTACCTGCTGCTGCCATCCCTACTCTGACAATTAGTGAATCGGAAAGGGAGAGAATTTCTGGCAGGGACTGCTGTCAATTACTGGAGACAAAATGACCAATTACTACTCTTCTCCAAGCCAGCTCTGCTCGCCTCCCTGGCCTCCCTCCTGGACCACCTCCTGCCTCGGGCCGGGAGTTCTGTTTCCGCCTCATCTCTTTACCATACCTCGGGATGGGGACAGGTCCAGGAACCCAGGCCAAGACCAGCAAATGTATCACCATGCTCATGACAGCAAGCTGCATGCGGAGCGAATTCCGCGGCCCCCACCCCTTCAGCTCCTCCCTCTGCCAAAACCAGGGGAGCTGCAAGATGCCGCGGACTGCAGACTTATCTCCACATGAGGACTGGTCCTGTTGGCAAATGCAGTTAGGTATCAGCCATCGGGCTATTTTTAGAAGCTTGTTTGGGAATATCTCAAAAACAAAAATTGCCCCGTGGTGAGCGATGTTAGCCAATTCGCCGAAACAGAGCATCAGTAAACACATTGTAAACGTGCCGTTAGCAATATGGAGCGTCAGGAAGATGGCCTTTTGTCCCCTAGGAATGGCTCACTGCTCTGTGAGCAGGTAGGATGCCTGTGGCATTTATACACCTTTTCAATCCTGGTGGCCAAATCCTGTCTTTATTCACACGAGCAGCTCTTCCCAGGCTGGGGCTGTGAGATCCTTGACCCGGTCCTTCCAGAGGCGCTTCCCAGGGTCCGGCCGAGGGAGCCGTCATTCCAGCTGGAGCTGGAGGTCATGACAGGCCAGGCTGAGCACCCACTGGGGCAGTGCATGAGGCGGGGCATGTCGTCAGGGAGACCCAGGTCAGGGAGGCCGGTGGTGGGGAAGGCAGGGGTCAAGGAGGCGCCACAGGAGCAGGTCACCCGCAGTGTCACTGAGAGGAGGGTCCCAGGCTCCTGGGCGGCTCCCTCTGCCAGGCCCCTGGGCCAGGTCCCAGGAAGCAGACCCAGCCCGGGGACACTAGGTCTTCCCCCTGTGGGCAGGAGAAAGCCCTGCTAGCCTGCGCTAAGCAAACAGATGAGTCTAAGTGTGTGCTCCGTTGTCCCAGCACCGTGGCCTTTTATTTGAAGAACTAGAGACCTAGTGCACGAAATTCATGCACTCATGGGGCGGGGGGGATCCCTCAGCCTGACCTGTGCCCTCTCAAAGTCCAGGAGCCCTAGGGGGATGTCCAACTGATGGCAGTCAGACATCCTTAGCACTGCCATGGAGGCAGGAGAGACTCCTGCCACCACCGCTGCACTCACCAGCCATGAGCCCAGCTTCAGGCTGAGTGGCGCTCCCCTTGTGGGATCGGGCTAAAACCGGCTCTCCGACATCCCCCGAGGGGTCTTGGACTGTGAGACAGTCCCCACTGGTGCACAATCGGGGCCGGGGAGGGACGTGGGAGGTTGGCCACCCGGGGAGGGACCACAGGAGGGCTTCAAGGCGTGTTCAGCCTATCTCACTCAGTCCCGATCAGCCAGACCCCATCAGCAAGCTAACCTACCGGTCAGAGCATCTGCCCCCTGGTGTCAGTGCACATCATAGCAAGTGGTTGAGAGGCCTTAGCATATCATTAGCATATTACGCTTTGATTGGTTGAATGGCTGACCAGTCAACTGGACACTTAGGATATTAGGTTTTTATTATATAGGATGTGTGTGCTGCGCTTTAAAATTCAAGTCAGTGATATTGATTCAGCTGGAGTCTCAGCCCAGCAGCACCCTTCACCCCAACTTCTTCACTCTGCTGATGAAGACAGTGATGGTCGTGTCCCTCGGGTGGGGGCAGGGGGAGGTCCCATCTGGGGCTGGGGCTGGGGCTGGGGCTGGCCTGCGGTTCAGGCCGTGTTCCTGTTGGCTCGGGGCCCTCCTAGTGCTCATCCTTGGGCCGGGTGTCCACTTCCCCAGCTCCCTCTCAGCACCCACCTTCCCCACCGGAAATTGGGGGCAATCATTGCTACGCCCCTGGCTTCCTCTCTGTGAAGATGCAGACTGGCACAGTGCACGCCTGGGCCCACCTGCCCAGCAGCCTCCGAGAGGGAGCGAAGGAGCTGGTTGAGCCCAGAAAGGACACGTCTGAGTGGAGGAATCCTAGCACCCTGAGGGGTAGAGGGCCCTCACTGCCGACGAGAGAGGATCCTTTCTCTGCTCTTCCAGGCAACTGACCGGCCAGAGTCTGAGAGGACAAGGAAGCAGGTGTGAACGCCACCTCAGTAATTCCTTATGCAACATCATCAGTGGGACAGCGGGACACATACCAGTGGGCGGGGAAGTGGCCATTTCATTCTGTAGAAGGCATTCCTAAAGGTGGTGGGAAGCTAAACCGAATGACCTCTGACCCAGTCATGACGTTCTAGGCGTGCCCGAGAGCTGTGAGCGGCAAGGCCTCCTGTGACCGCTTCATTGACTGCAGTTCAGCCGCAGCCTCTGAGGGGTCGAATGCACTTTGTGTCAAGAAAGAAATACATGAGACAAGGGAGCGACGAGGTTCCCAGGCTCCCTTGGAGTCCCCCAGCGGCCTGACCACACCTCCCAATGGGACAGGCACTGCAGACAGACTGACATTTTAACTGGTGTGCTGAGCCCTCGCACAGAAGCCTCGGGGCTGTGGCTTCCCCCTCCCTCGGGCACAGACTCCTAGAGCTTTAGAGGCGGAGGGAACCTGCGGGCCTGTTGTCCCAAGCCTTGCCCAGGGCAGGCCTTCTTCACGCCAACCACCCAGCACGGTCACCCAGCTTCGCCTGAGCAGGAAGAGGCTTGGCCAGCAGGTTAGTCCGTTTTGAAACCACTTAGTCGGTGTTGAGACAGCCCTCTTGATGAGCTGTTTCTTCCTCGTATGGAGCCCACGTCTGCCTTCAGCCAGCGTGACTTTTGCCCTCAGCAGTCGGACAAAAACCAATGTTTTCTCATCCCCTTGACAATGTTTAGATTTTCTAAGACAGCAGTTATCTCCACGCCTCCTCTCCCTCCAAGTACTTTCCTCCCCATCCAAATGCCTCGGTCACCTCAGACAGTTCCCATCCGGCACCGTTTCAGTCCCCTCTCCATCCCAGTTACCATCTTCTAAATAGCTTCTGTTTTACTAACGTTCCTTATAAAGAGTTGCTCCTAGAACAAATACCAACTGTGGTCTGATGACTGCTGTCACCTCCTTTGATCTACACACTATACTTTTATTAATACAACCTAGAATTATATGTGCTTCATACCAAATGGTCAACTGTTGTGTTTATCTTAAGATGTTGATTAACCAAAACTGCCATCTTTTTCTTCTGACCCAATTTCATATAGCTTAAAAGAATTAAGTGGATTTAAAACTGGCCCTGTAAGTTATTAAAACATCAAACCCTGCCTCCCCGTGTAAGAGATCAGAGCCCTAGCAAAGATGATCAGTGACAGACTAAGTAGTTGACCCCCAAAATGATTGGCCCCAAAGGTGAAATGTGAATTGGCAGTGATGTGCCAGGGCCCCAACCTTTGCGGCCTCTTCTTCCAACAAAATTCGGGCAGAGAAGGGCTCTTCTTGGAAGCTGCGCCTGCTTTTGTCTACCTTACTCTGCCTTTCTTTTCAGCTCTCCCCATGCTCCTGAGGCCATCTTCCTCCCACCCCCTGGGAACTCACTAGCGGATTTCCTTTGTGTCTCCGACAGGTCACCTGAAGGAAGCAATCACGCAGCGGCATCTGCAGCGAGCAGCTCTAGGTGAGTACGGAGTGGAGGCTGCGGGAGGAAGGCGAAGGCTACGCCAGCTCACCTGCCTGGAGCCCCACCCTCAGCTAGAACATAACCCACCCAAACCCTCAGGAAGCTGAGGGAAAGGAGGTCTGCTGTCAGTGCAGCTTCCTGCAGATGCCCCTCCTCCCAGGGACCAGTTTCCCCCACCTGTGTGCTTGCTCCCAGCGTCAGCACCAGACACCCCACCCTCCCAGCTGCTGCCTCATCCTCCTGGCCTTGTCCACCCCACACCCCAAACTAAATTCACCCCGCATCCCAGCCCCTCAGAGTCCTACTCTGAGCTTCCTAGAGCCACTGCTAACTAGTCCTACAGTGAGGACTGGTGGTTAAAGCAGCCTCCGTGCCCATCTCCTTCCATCCTCACCACCGTCCAAAAGGTAAGTGCACTTTCCGTGTGAAGGCGGTCCAACGACTTCCCAAGGTCACAGGGCTTCTCAGTGTGAAACTCGAACCCGGACCCAGTTCTCTGAGCCTGCACTTGGTGCTTTTAGCCCCACGCTGCTTTTGCCCACAACCGTGGCATACGCACTTCTGCACATTGATAATGCGAACATTAAACAAGCACCGTGACATTCTAACTTGAAGGCCTTTGGCGCCTTTTAAGCAGCGACATCTGCAGAAAATGCTCCCTTCTGACCTGTGCCCCGAGGAAGTGTGCTGGGAGAGGCTGATGGGCAGGCACCTGGGCAGGGCCAGCGTGCTCTTCTGCAGCCTGGGACCAAGCACACATGCAGCTTCAGTTAAATATGCAACGTGTTTATTCCAAACCAAGAGCTTGTCCAGGGTGGCCTGGCCCTGGAGTGGCCCGGACCTGAGAAATCCAACAGCGGGGACTCCTAGCGGAGGATAGCGGGCAGCCCAGGATCACGAGGATGACCCCTGTGACCTAGGAACTTGATCATTAGGAAGGCTGGTTGTTTGGTTTCAGTAATAATAATGATCGTTTCAACAACTGCTGATTACATCAGAAATAAAGAGCAGCGAGGCCCGGGACACACCGGCCAGAGCTTGGCCCCAGGACTGAGGGCAGGTCAGCCTGCCAGGCCTGCCTCCTGTATGTGCCTCTGAGGGTGATGGTTAGCGGGGCTGGGTGACTGTCGTGAGCTGAGCGGCGCCCTGTGGAGGAGACTGACTGGTGAAGGGAGGCCAGGTCCAGGGACGTCAGAGAGCACCGCAGACACGCGCGTGCTACCCTTTCAAGAACTTGGGAACCGTGTTAAACACAGCTGGCGTTAAAAGTTAATTATATACAATTAAGTAAATTACATTGAAAAAAACAAAGGTAACAAATACAGTGGGGCCTTGACTTACGAGTGTCCCGACTAACGAGTTTTTCGAGATAGGAGCCATCTCTCTCGGCCGATTTTTTGCTTTGAGTTGCGAGCTAAAATTCGGGTTACGAGCCAGCTTCAGATACCCCACCACTAGTTGGCACAGTGAACACCACAGTGAATGCCACATCAGCCCAGCATCACATGTCTCACTCGTTCACTTTTTGATTTGACATACGAGTAATTTGAGTTACGAGCTCCGTCACGGAACGAATTAAACTCGTAAGTCAAGTCCCCACTGTACTCAAAATCCACCCCTTCCTGAATCATTTACCACATTTTACTGTCATCTCTGCACCCGAGGTCATTGATATCGCGGGGTCTGTCTCATGGAGATGGATTTGATGGTGGGGCTCCCTGTGTGTCTCCTTAGGCCACGATCAGGACGTGGCCCACGCAGCTTGAGGTCAGCATGGTGGGAGCGTTTACACAAAGGAACTGACACATGTTATAAATGGAGCCCGTTGTTACACATCTACCATCACACCACTGGCACGGACAAGTGTCTGTTGAGAGGCCAGCTTCTGCACATGTATGTGTGTGTGTGTGCATGTGCTCTCATGATGACTTCTACCCGCTTCCTGGCTGAAATTCCATGATGGCCCTCCTTCATGGCCTGCCTTCCACGGAACCCTGTCCTTTATAAAGTCAGTGGGCAAGGAAACCAAGGGAGACAGAGCAGAGCAGGCAAGCAACCCCCCGATGTGACAGCCAGGGTCCGAGGGGGTCTCTGGGAGACACATCAATGGCCAGTTCTAAGAATGTCATGTACAAGCAAAAGTTACTGGTGGACTTAGTGCGGGACCCACTCCCACCCACTGCTTCAGGAAACAATGAAACAATGTTCTTTTTAAATTAAGCAGCATTTGGGAATGATTCTACTTGAACTAGATTCAGCTAGCGCCTGAATTCCGTGTGCTCCCCCCACTTTGAGGTCCTGGCTACGATGGCGCAGTATTGTCATCATGCAGATGACACAATCAGCAGGCCTTCTCAGTTCTTCACCACGAGCCAGGCATGACTCTGTGCTCTTTGCCTGTGTTTCCTCCTGTGATGCTTCTAAAACACCCATGAGCAGATACGACTGTTGCCCTGGCTTTACCGTCAAAGCTCAAAGGGGTTACGCGCACGTGCTTAATGTCTCTCAGTTAAGGATGCAAACACGACAGCGCAGCTCCAGACCCCACGCTCCCACCCCCACACTGCACTGCCCTCACCCTTGCCAGGCGGGCATCGCGGGTCCACAGAGGACAGAGGTCCGATGCCTGCCCTAGCCAGCGGGAGCGGCCACATGCATAGAGAAAACTCTATCTAATTTCAGATTTAGACACACATGTATTGTGCCATTGTGTCCTCTTCCCACTGCAGTCCCCGGAGCCGTTCAACCGTGACCTGCCCCCGGTCGCCACGGCGGCCTTGTCCTCCAGCCCCACACACCTCTGCGAGAGCACCAGCCCTGTTTTGTAATTATCCGTTTCCATAGCTATTCTCCACGCTAAAACGTGGGCTCCCAGAAAGTCGGATGAGTCTCTGTACCCCTAGCAGCCAGCACGCGCAATAAATAGGCCCAATCAGTGCTTCCCCAGATGGCTTCCAGACCCACACATCTTGCAAAAGCATAATGAGACATTGGAACATAAAATAAAATAAGTCCATTAAAAGCAGTGGAAGGAGTAAGTGCTTTTGGACCCCACAGCTGAGCAGATTATAACACACAGGCGATAAATCCCTCTCTCCCTTATCTAGCCGCGAGGCAGAGAGAGAAGCGCCCTGAGAGCCAGTTTCTTTCCTGACAACAGGAAGCACGCTCACTAATTTACCCGCAAAAATAGAATCTCTCCCTGGAACCAAACACAGCCAGGACGTGTGGCGCAGACCCTTGTGTGAAGGACAGAGTGGCTTCGTGAGCGACGTCTCCCACTGCAGCCCTACAAAACGCACGAAAGGCTGGTCAAGCAGAGTTCTTAGACCGACCGCCGTAACAGCGCGAGCGGACACTGCAGCTCAGCTCAGGAAAGCGTGGGTGCGCGGCCGAGGTCCTGCGCCAGGCACCTGCTCTCAGCGGCCCACAGAGCAGGATGGGGCGGGGCCAGCCCCGAGCGCCGGCTCCTCCGTGTCTGTCCTGAGCAGCATCTGGCCAGGGACTGGCTCTCGCTCAGCTGCCCTCTAAGTCCTACCAAGTGCCTGTGACTAAAGTGTAGGAGACACAGGCCCTGCTGAGCGGCTGTACGATGTGTCAGGCGAGAGGGACTGGCCATCGGGCTTCGGGAGGGAACTCACCTGAGGATGTGGCCTGGAGGACACTGAGACCACGGCCTGGGCTGAGCTTAGAGAAGGGGCAGGACCAGAGCCCAAGTGGAGAGGGCAGGGAGGGGTTGTTGTGGGTGTGTGGGGGGTGTGTGACATGTGTATGATATGCATGATGTGTGTGGCCTGTGTCGTATGTGTAGTGTGTGCATAGTATGTGTGGTTATGTGTGTATGGTGTATATGTGTGTGGTGCATGTGGTATGTGTGCTGTGTGTGGTATGGGGGTATATGTGGTATGTGTGTGGCATGGGTGTGGTATGTGTGGGTATGTGTGGTGTATGTGCGTGTCGTGTGTTGTATGTTTATGTGGAGGGGGAGGAGGATGACTTTTTGGGGAGTGGATTTGAAGCAGGGGGGGTGCTGAAAGGGTGAGTTGAGGGGTTCAGCGAGGACCTTGGACCTGAGCCTTTACCTTTCGGCCAGCTGAGCCACTGAGCATTCGCCATCACGGAGGGCTGGGTCAGGGGCCGTTGGGAAAGAGAGAACCCCAGGCAGTCGCCGAGTTCCCATCACTGGCCAACTCCTGAGGAGTGACAAATCCGTCTTCCGCCCTGACCACCGCCCCAGCCTGCCCCTGCCCCTGCCCCACTGTTCCCTGGGCTGCTCCCTGGGCACACACACTCCCAGTGCAGCCAGGAGGGCCTGGCCAGCTCTCAGTGAGTCTGCTGCTGCGTACACACAGGTCTGAGGCTGCCCCGAGAGTCCCACACTGGCCACACGCCTGCCCGCCTGACCCTGAGAAGCTCAGCCCTCATTGGATGACACCTCACCTGTCTCCACAGTTATCCCTGCCCCAACTTCTATGAAAGCATGACCTGCTGGAACATTCCGTCGCCTCTGTTACAGGCATGTCACAGGAGATAGCAACAATAATGACGAAGATGAATTAATGACAAGGCAAGCTCCACAAGCAGGCCACTGGCAGGTTCCAAATGGCGTCGGAGGTTCCCCCACAAACACTAGCGTCCCCCCACCCCACCCTGGGGGGGAAAGCAACCCCCAGGCCAGTCCCCTGTGGCCGCAGTGCACCAGGGGTTGTTCCCTGTCCCTGAAAACAGGGCAGCCACTGCCCATCCCCAGCGGGGCCTTGGGAGCCTGGGGAGGCCCTGAAGCCCAGGGCTCCCTATTTCACTTCATTGTTCAGCTGAGTGTCTACAAATAGCTCATTTCCCCCAAACAGAATTCCTGCAGTGCCCTCTAGTGGCGACCCTGCTGTCTCAGAACAGAGGCTTCTGCGGCCGCCACTTTCTCCCACTCCGTGTAAAATCGTTTAAGATTGCCTGCACTGCTCTTTGGAATTCTGCACCTGATGTAACAAATTTAAGAG